CGTTATCGAATACCCTCCAAGCTAATATCTCACCTTCATCAGAATTATTATCTGTTTCAGCATCGGTTTCATCTGGTGCATCCTCGAGGATAAGATCACGATCCAACTCCTCATCAACAGTTCTTGCGGCCGATTCGTGCATTAGGAAAATCTGAAAGTTTTCAGAAATTGACTGATGCTTAAACACTACTCAAATTACTATTGCTAAAGGTATCAATACAACTCTTCTTGCTGTTCTCACGATACATCTACAAATAATCAGTACAAAGGTCGAGAATTAAAAAAGCACCTGCGTGAGCGCATTCAGCGACGGTTGCTGAGAAACACTTCCACTCTCAATGTTATAAACAGGTACCATCAACTCGATCACCTTCCTGCGATTCGAATTACAACGCTCAACCAGATTCACCAATAAACTGCTCATCTGAATTCGATTATAAAAAATAACTTCAACATTACTGCAATAAACCCAGACGTACAATTAATATATCGTCGCTTTAACAGCATCGACTCATAACCAAATTCGTTGAATAACTCACCAATACTCCCAAATCGAAACGTTTATTGTCAGGTGCGAATCTTGGCGCTAAGTTCGTAAATGTTGACATACACAACGGTAAGAAGCTGTTCATTTGACCCAATTTCGTGCTACATAATTCTGAAATTCACAACACACATCCAACTAATGTTACAAAAAAGGAAAGAATTGCAAGCTATGTATTAGAACAATAAAAAATCAGAGAACAATACGCTAAATCCTAAAAAAAACATAAATTTATACGACTGCAAAACCTGAAACTGAAATCGTTTCTGCAAAAGAGTTCGAATTCAATTCAACTTAAGCAGCTGGTGTACGTACCACTCATTAACAGATCAAAAAACAAATGTTATACATTGAGATGAATGAGCAAAAGTACCATTTTCATGCGAAAGGTTCGTGAGGATGCCTGATATACGACACAAACATGTAATATTCGCCTTTACAAGAGCACTATCTTTGTCGCCCAATCGATCCACCGTTTCATGACAATATGCCATCAATCTAAACTTATTAATAGATAACTTATCAAAATGGTTTTCCACCCGTTCATTCTCTGCCTCGTGCTCAATACGTTTCAACTCAAATTGAAGTGCCGTTCATAATCAAATATAACCTATTTGGAAGATTAAAAAAATTCAAATCCACATCTCACATCAAAATAAGAGACTAATTTCGCTTTGACACAACAACAACTCGATTTGTAACAAATCAAAATTTTGAATTGATATACAGGAATGTGATACGCAAACATTTCAAAAAACATTAAAGTGTTAAGAGAAGATGCCGAGCACACCTGCCACATGACTGAATTAAAACACTCCCACGATGACTGATCAAGTACGCTTGATTCTTTTTGTTGAATACCGTGCACTGAAACAGGATAATTGAGTATCAAAAACGCTATTCAAACTTTCAGTGACAATCTCTTTAACGATTACTCAACTTTCAAGTCAGCATAAATGAAGAAATTATCACACGGAAGATTCCTTCGGTTCACTTGGGCGTAGAGTTTTCAGAAATAATGGATACGACTTAATAAAAATAAGTTTAACAACTCACCGTTTCCAAAATCCAGAAACATCGTTCAAGCGTCACCAAACATTGCAATGTCATTGCTTCATCCAATTTCTCGTGGATTAAACGCAGCACTGTTTTATCGACTGCAATCAAAATATTTGTCATCGTGGTCGTTATTATAACCAACACGAAAACATTCACTATTACAACAATTATTACAGTTCATTTTACGTCAATTATTTCATAAAATTCAGTGCAACATCGAATGAATTTGTGATCAGTCAAATCAATGAAACCTTTCGATACGATCCATTGTAAAACTCCCAAATTGAGCATTTCATTTTTGAGATTCTGGTCATTGTTGTTGCGTGTACATATATACACTAGTGACTCCAGAACGAGTAAAGATGGCTGCAATTTTAGGATATTGAAACATGAATAAAATACAACCTTGAACTCAGACTGCAAAAAGTATAAATCAAAGCAAGCATACCGAAATAGTAGCCTCAGTGAAATCGAACTGCACGTCGTGCTCCAGTCCAGCACGTGTTTTATCAAGCCATTCTTGCAGGATATCCCAAACCTGAAGACAACAAAACACTTATCGAAAACAGTGATAGCATCTCCCTCAACATAGTACTGAAGAATCTTCCAACAATTAGAAGACATCAAAGTATGACCATTTCAAGTGAAATCCACAATTCTTTCGGTTGTTCGTATCCGTGNATCGCTCAAAACAACCGGGCACAAATTTCAAACTTTCGGGTGAGTTTTAACTTATCAAGAGATCACTAGAACCAACCATTTTTGCGTATTTGTTGTAGTCATTATTATCTTTCGGCACGTCCATTTTCAACATTTGACTCAGCAGACGTAATGACGTCGCATCCAACGACAAACAAATTTTATCACGAGCCATTAAATACACCACGGCCGATGCACTAATCGCAACGCTCTAAACGCAATTAATCACCCGATTGAAACAACTGATAACTGAACTCGATTATCAATCCGTCTATTCACCTTTCAAATCAAATTGTTTTTTAAGTGAAGCTTATTCGAAGAATCTGACAATATTCGGATATATCAAAAAAAAATCGTTAAAACAACGGCAATGTGAAATATCAAAAAGTTACCGGATAACTAGCTGAATCAATGATCGCTTTCATTGTTCGATGAAAGAAATTTTGTGTTCGGAAAAACTGTCGAAATTCTGCTGAGACACATTTCTTCGCGAGAGAGATCATACTGAAAATAAGATGCAAAAAATAAAACACTTCAATACGGAAAACAAAAAATTATTTTAAAGAATTGGACAAAATTCCAGAGAATTTCTTCTGCCCCCCTAGCATTCCTTCAGAACTGTCAAAGAGTACATAGAACATGATTTGTCATAAAATACACGATTGCGATTCCATCAAGCAACACCAAATCAAATCATATTCCAACAGAAATAACACACCTCAAACACTTGATATTGCTTGTGGAAGATGCATCAAGAAGTGTACTGAGCGTGTAATCGATATCTTGTCTGTAATCATCGTGCTCTCCAGACTCCAAACATTCGTGAGCTTCCTTCACATTTCGCACTCGTGTTAATGTTGTTGTCGATGATGTCGTTGTGGTCGTGCCAGACAGAGTCTTATCATATTCTGCTGAATTGATTGCATTCATTGGAATGACCTTCGAATCGCTCATCTGCGATCGAGTTGATGGTAACGTTGTCTTATTTTGTATTACCTGAACAATTTTCAAAATTATCAATGATTGACTTCAAATAAGGCATCCTTCTGATTGACTACAATTGCTGTTGGATACCTTTCGGTTTTGTAGGTCAGTTTTGTCCGTTGTGACCTTCATTTCCTCCTCTTCTTCGTCATCTTCGAAAGCCCATTTATGCTTATATGCAGGTCTTTTGTCTTTCTTAACGCCCATTGGAAACAAACTTTTTGACTGGCTATTCCCTGCAATGTGAGATCATATAAAATTCTTATTTCATTAAAGTAAATCAAAACATTTCGCATCGACAAACGAAAGTTCAGTATGGTAGGAATGATTCCGAATATCTGTCAGAATAGCATAAGTGATAGACAAGATTCAAATACAAATGAAGTCCTGACCGAGATATAATCAATCTAAAGTTATAAGTATACCGTCAAAACATACTAACTGATCACCTCAGGCAATCTAAACTCCAACTAAAATTGAACATTCTAAATTAGAAAACGTTCCAAATTACCTGAACCGCTCGTCGACTCAATCACCAAAGGATCGGATCTGGTCCGTTTCACCTGCGGTGGTATTGCTTCCTCTTCTGCAACTCTGCTTTCCGTACCGTCATCGTTGCTACCACCATCGTCATCTTCGTCCGCTTCCTCTTCCAAAAGCAATGACGAGATTTTTGTTTGACGTCTTTTCTGAGTACCGATACCGTTTGAAGATAACTTCTGTTCTTCGACTCTCTTACTCTGAATGCTTCCAATTCCAGTGATTCGATTGTGAGGATCCGATAGAGAGGTTCTTTCCATGGAGAGATTTAACGATGCAGAGGACGATTGACTGCAGCCTTGCAATTCATTCTCATCATCCTCACTACCGCTGTCAACGGACTGAAATGTGGCATTGATGATAAAATGCTAAAATACGATTGAATTCCATCTCCTATCACGAAGGTGTGATTCATTATGAGACTGCGAGCAAACAAACAACAAGCATGAAAAAATAATCAACCTTTTCGGGAGCAATATCCGGAATGGTTGATGTCGGTGATGAGAAAGCTGTACTTGATGGACTGTTTGATTTACCTTCGGACGGCAATTCAGGTTTCTTCGGAGAGCTCCGTCTTGTCTGCGTTTCTCTGCAAATCGAAATCAACTATTACATATTGGAACGTGCCACGATGAAAGTGCATTTGCAACTTGCAAAAGAAAAGAACTTGCATTCACTTCGAATGTGCATTTGATATGGCTCATCGAATGAATTCATCAATAATGTTCGTATTGCCGAGAATTTTGTTTTTATTCTTATAGGTGGTGGTAATGCAGAAAAGAAACAAACACTCGTGTTGGACGATTAGCTGTGCTACTGCTTTGTTGTGATTGTCGAGGGAATATGGCGTCGAATAGTGAAGCTGCTTTATCGGCTTTTGGATCGGTGGAAAACTGTCCAAAACGACGAGTTACTTTAGCACCAGATGATTGTGACGACATTACTTGTGAAAGCTCTGAAGGCAACTAAAGGCATTTGACAAATCAAGACTTTCTTTAACGAAACAATCGATTTAAAGAGATTCGCGAAACTCGTCAAATCAACGGATACTGAGGAAATGGACCTGCTTTAGAAACTACTGATCTATCGCCTATATTTTTGAGGAAGGAGATGATGAATAATTAAGATAACCATTCGATCCAGCAAATCATTTCATTTCAACTATCAAAAAGTAACCGTTCCAATTTTTTAAGTCTTCATTGATGAAGTTCACGTTCGCAGTTCGGCAACAGAAGAACGTCTTAAGATGCCTCTGGTCTTAAACACCTAATTTTATTTGTGCCGATAGTCATTTAGAAAACTCGAAAGGGAGTTTTAGAATTGTTTTCGCTTATGTGAATTTCGGGAATGATATATGTATGGGTTTGGAGTTACATTTAGACGGTGAGCGGTTGGTTTGTCGATTGCTTTATGCGATCGACAAAATGTTCGTC